GTGTGTGTGTGTGTGTGCGCGAAGTATTCGGGCTCCCTATGAAAACCTAACAGTAGGAACAAACAGAACTCCGTTTTAAGGGGCTACCTGGGCGCAAAGCTCAACGCTGGAAGGCTGTAACCCTAAANNCCCTAGACCCCAAAACCCTAAACCTACCCTAAAACCACCCTAGACCCCAAAATCCTACGCTTACCCTAAAACGACCCTAAACCCCAAAACCCTAAACTTACCCTAAAGCGACCCAACACCTCAAAACCCTAAACTTACCCTAAAACGACCCTAAACCCCCAAAATCCTAAACCCTAAAACCCAGGAAGATGCCGAAATCACCTGCAGAGCAGAGACGGGGGGGTTTCGGAAAGTGAAGATCCACTAGGCCTCTAGACTTAGAAGGGTTTAGGGTGTAGGGTTTAGGGCTTAAAAGGGATCGTAGTATTAGAGCAGGTAAGCTTTAACCTTTTTATTTGTGTACTCTGATCCCTAAATCGTCCCAATATAGTCTCAAAGGTTAACCTTTTCTTCGGCTTTCCGGGATACGGGACAAGTGGGTATATTTACGGTTTAGGGCTTATGGGGTTTAGGGTTTAGGGGCCTGACTTTAGTGACATCCTGAACCGTCAACCCGAACCTACTCGGCAAGCCCCAACGCCCAAATATAGGGTTCGGAATGAATACCATGAGGATCCTGTATCCCTGTAATACAATATGCCCTGACACCCTGTTCTAAGTACTAAGGTCTCAAAGGATTCCCAAACCGCAAGCCCTAAACCCTAGCTTGCTCGGCCCAGAAACGTGCCAGAAGTACAAGACCACAGAAGAGCGGCTCGCATGCAGAGCAGAGGCGTCGAGCTACTGTGCCCAGAGGCGCGCCAACCCTAAACCCTAAACCCTAAACCCCTAAACCCCTAAACCCAAAACCCGAAAACCCCTAAACCCTAAACCCCGAAACTCCCGACTCCAAGTACCTTTAGCGGCAGGAGTTCCTTTTGTTTCCTTGGCTGTGCTCCTAAGTCAAGGCCGGGCATGGTAGAGGTGTCCCAGGCCCCGAGATCCCTGTGAAGGGCGCGGATCTTACGTACCTTTTAGGGTAATTTAGGGTTTAGAATTTAGGATTTACAATTTAGGGTTTTGAATTTAGGGATGAGGGTTTTGGGTGTAGGGTTTAGGGTTTAGGGGTTTAGGGTTTCAGGGCCTACGGTGACCAAAGTACTTTTTGTGGAGGATACTTACACAGACGGATTTATAAGCTGAACCCCCATATTTTGAAAGCCAATACGAACTCTACGGATAGGTGCTTTACAAGAATCAGCTCTGTCAGGGATCTACTTTGAGATCCTCCCGGGAAGAGTGGTACTGTTGATGATACAAATCCTGCATTACCTTCATGACCCTAAACTATGGGATACATGGCATATTCCTCCTCATCATTATGGGTAATGCAGGCTTTATATCATCAACCGTAGGATATCTTTTCGGTGGGTTCGGTGGGTTCCATATATTTGCTTCGATCCTTGGAGGGGTCTGCGGCGTTTATAGGGTGCGATGGCATTGTGATAGGGCCTAGGGTTAGGGTTTAGGGTTTAGGGATTGGGTTTCATTGGGGTCTTGCGGCTTGCACAATATCGTTGAATTAAGGAATACTTATCAAGTGAGCGCTTTGAGAAGACTCGGCTCTGATAATTTTAAACATGAAGGGGCTATTGTATTAAGCCCTACAGTCCCCTCCACATAGGTTCTTAACAGGTCCTCAAATGAAGCAAGTAAGGGAACTCCGGAAGAACTTAGGGCATTTCTGATTGAGGGGCCTGAATAGCTAGGAAGGATGTCCACTTCTAGCCGTATACAGCTGTACGATACTTAATGTATCCAAACCCGCATCCTACTTACGGCGGTCCCTGTCGTGAGAACTTAGGGGCTTGTGGAGCATCTCTACGACCTCCAGCATTGGTGCGACATGCGCATGATTTCCAGGGTCTGGGCCTTTTGTAGGTTTGTCGAATGGGCTGTTTAGGGTTTTGGGCTTAGGACTAAATCCTGGACTAGCAACCTCACAACCCTGAATGGAACGCTACCTCAGCACTTATTAGGGTCCCTCCAAATTAAAGGTCCATTCCTCCATTCAAGGCTATCCGGTTCTCTAGGAGCTAGCGCAGGTGTCCGACGAGGACGATCGTGACAGCCGATGGCGAGGAGGCCAGGACTACCAGAAAATTAATGCAGGGGCGTAAATAATTACCAATACTATTTTGGGGGGCTCCTTATTATAGTTATAGTATAACGGGCCCCAAAACCCTATTCTAACTATTAAGGCCCCCATATTAAGCTCTTAAGCCCAACACTGTAATAACACTCTAATGTAGGAACCTGACTAAGACACTCAGTCCCGATAACGCCAATAGGAAGAACCCTAATAAAGACTAAGGGTTTCTTCATCATGTCCCCCATTTATCTTAAGCCCTAAACAGCCTCAAACCCCTAAAGCAATGATCCCACTTCTGGACGTAGGACCTTACCGGATCCTAGTCGCTTTCTGAGGGTCCGTGCTAGGGAGCCCTCAACCCTAAACCGAAGCTGGAAGGGTTGAGGGTTTTGGGTTTAAGCTGGAGCCTATAACCCCCAAACCCGAAAAAGCAGCGGCGCTTCAAAGAGCAAGCTGAAAGGCTACTAAACCCTAAACCCTAAACGCTAAACCCAAATGACATGCTCGTCTTAGCCGGAAGGCCACCATCCCGCTCAACATGGAGACCTGCGAGGAGAGTGCAAACCCGGGTTTGGGATGAACGTGTTCAGTACCCTGGGGGTAGGTAATTTTGGGGGTTCCCCATTAAAGCTATAGTATCATATACCCCAGAACCCTATTCTAATTATTAAGCTTAGGGGCTGAGTAGGTAATCTTTCACCTTTTGGGGCTTATATGATCGTACTATACTTCAAAAGGTGAAACCTTTTTGGACTAGAGTTCTCAGCCCCTAAGGTACAGGGGCCTGAATCATTACCAATACTATTTTTTTTTTTGGGGGGGGGTTCCTGCTTATGTTTATAGTATAGCATGCCCCCAAACACCCTAGTCTAATTATTAAGGCTCCTTCATTAGGGCTTTAGGATGCTGGGGTTTAGGGTTTAGGGCGATAGGATTTTGGGGCTTGAAGGTTTCGGATGTAATGTGATGCAGTCTGGGGGCCTTGATAATTAGTTTAGGGTTTATGGTTTAGGGATGCAGTCTGGGGGTCTTGATGATTAGAGCAGGATTGCTGAAAGGGTTCAAGGTGTTTCTCATCACCATCTCTTGCCGTCTCGGGTGCTTGCGGTCTAAGTTTAGGGTTTAGGGTTTAGAAGTCGGGCCCATGCATTCTTCGACGACAGGTGCACAACACCTCCGCTTGCTTGTGCTGTTGTCCGTAACCCTAAACCTTGTTGTCGAAGCCCAGAACCTTTTTGGAACACGCCCTCATACCGAAACTCTGCTTGCTCGCCAGATTTTGAAGGGCTCAAAAGGAGCGGAATCTTTGGAATCTTCTCGGTCTGAAGATAGCCATGGGATGTGGAGCAAGTGCCTCGGGAACCAGAGTGCAGCCGCTTCCTGCGCGACCTTCATCAGTGCCTGGGCGGCAGAAGAGCTCATCTAGGATCCCTAGTAGTACCCTTTTGGCCGTTTCGGTTCCTTTGTCAAAACCGAATACATAGTAGGAAAAAGGATACCCTTCTTCCCTAAACTCTAAACCCTAAACCATGTCTACTGAGCAACGTAGCCATGATCCTCAAACCCTGAACTCCGAACTCCGAAGATCCGATCATTGAAAGCTGAGCCCCCCTAAAGGCAGGCAAAATCTCTTCAAGCAAGCCGGCAACCCTACAATCCCCGAGCCCTGAAACCCTAAACCCTAGACCCATCCAAAAACCCTAAGCCCCCAAGCCTAAACCTATCTAACCCCTAAGCCCAAACCCAAGCCCTACACCCCAAAACCCCAAACCCCAAGACCCTGAAGTTCCCGACCCTGCGCCGCCCTAACCCGAACCGTGAGAGCCATGGACCCCTTGCATTACAGCGTCTTTAGGGGTTTGGGGTTTTGGGGCTTAGGGTTTAGGGTTTAATGCGATCTTATAGACTTTAGGCGAGTGTATGATTCGATGTAGGTATGTATATGTCGTGTATGTACGATGTATGTTTGTGTGTATGCACCATTGCAGGACTAGTCTGCAAGGTGGCATGAATGTTCGTTCTGCCAGCATATACCCCAAACAGCGGAAGACCAAGGAACATCCCGAGAGACCATGCCAATGCTACACGAAAGCCTTCAAGGCCCAAGCTTTTTCGAAGCAACCCTAAACCCTAAACCCTAGCCAACCCGCACGGGTGCTTAACATAGCCTGTGGCAAACCCCATGCAACTGCCAAGAGCCGAACAGGCCGAAATAGTCGCATACCCTACCTATCCGAAAAGACCTACCTTGTTTAGGGTTCCTTGTTATGAAACCCTAAACCTTAAACCTGAAACTACATCCCAAACCTAAACCCTAAACACTAAACGTCTATTTAAAGTTCCTTCAAAAGGAGGTCTTTTGGGCCGCAGGTAAGCCCATAAATCCTGCTTGGAGACTCTTGTGACTTAGTATGACAGTCCCAAGAACCGTCTAGGGCTTTGGGTTAGGTTTAGGGGGTTTAGGGTTTTGCGTTTAGGATTTATCCCACAACCCACACCTCTGTACACAGCTCCCCGAAAAGAGACCTAGAACCCTGGAGCCCTGGACGCTAGAGTTTAGTTAGGGGTTTAGGGGTTTGAGGTTTAGGGCTTCGGCTTTAGGGTTGAGGGGTTTAGGGGTTTAGGGTTTAGGGGTTCAGGGTTTCGGGTTTGCCCTGCCCCCCCTCTAAACCTTCAGCCCTAGTGCCCTGGCGCCCGAAACCCAGGTCGTCCCGATGCAGGAAGAGCCGCCGTCGCCCAAGGACAGTGGTCAGGATGTAGCCCTCTTGCTCAGGGTTCAGGGTAGTGGGGCTTCTGGTCTTGGGGCAATTGGGGTCTGTGGTTTGGGCAAAAAGGGCACGAGGGTTCAGGGTTTCAGGGTTTAGGGGCATAGAATTTGGGGCTTAGTCTAGGACATTTTCAGGTGGGTAATTACCGTGATAGGAGCCTTATAGCAGGTCTATATACCTTATGGAAGCCTTATAGAAGCCTATACATCCTAAGCTCCCCACCTGTAGTTTCCTTTAATTTGGGGTCTGTTTTGTAAACTGAACAATAGGAAAAAGGGGGAGCCTTGTTGTTAAGGGGCTTCTGGGGAAACCTACCCTAAACCCTAAACCCTAAACCCTAAACCCTAAACCCTAAACCGCAGGGCCGAGGATAGCGAGCCTTACTGGTACGGGGTTGGGCGGGGCGGGTTCTGAACGCTGTGTCTACCTTTGAATCCTCAAAAGAAGGCTCCTTCGTAGCTTTGGTATTTTCTGACATTGCCCAACAAATGAACGACGAATGGTGATCAGCAGGAGAACTGGCGGCTGCTTGTTCAGGGTCTCGGGCCTGCCTGAACCCTGAAAGCTCATATTCATAGGGTTCGGGTGTTATGACACTCTTCTTGATTTCCTTGAACAGGTAGGTGTCTTTAGGCTTGGGGCGTGATCATGACAACAAGTAAGAGGAGTAGAGCAACCCGACAGCGAAGTGTCAGAACATAGTGTTTGCACTTGCAGCCTCTCAACTGCAAAGTGGCATCTAAAGGCTGACCAAATATTTTTTCAGCATTTGACGCTTTATGTTCGTTGCAGTGCTGTTTCTCATCTGTAATATAAGGGTCGAAGACCTTCCGTTGTAGTCCCTTTAAAGAACCATAGTATGATTTACCCTCCAAGGCCTTTTCTGATGGTTACGGCCCCTTACTCACCCCAAAGCTTTTCCTCCTCCGGGGTTGAAGTGTACTGTAGGGGCCTTACCAATTAGAGTCGGTCTTGGGGATATGTTTTACGACATGTACAAAGGAACCCCGATTAGGATCGGTCTTGGGGATATATTCTACTATAAATGTAGACAGTAACCGCGAGTAGAATCGGTCTTGGGGATAATATAGTTTACCATAAATGTATAAAGGAACCCCGATTAGGATCGGTCTTGGGGATATGTTCTACTACAAATGTTTGAAGGAACCACCAAATTACTATTGGTAATTATTTAGGTGCCTAGACTACTGCAGGGGCCTAAACAATAAGCAATGTTATTCCTCACGGTTCCGTATTATATTTAACGCTCCTGAAAACAGGGCGATCGCCAGGACACCTCGGAGGAACCTGCTGTGACGATGACGACAAGTGACTTGTCGTGTGAAGTTTAGGGTTGCCAGGACACAAACCCAAAACCCTAAACCGCAAGCCCGAAGCTCTACTGCGTCTTCATTTCTGCTCTGCATGCTTCACGTCTTGGACCACACTCTCGGAACGAACAACATGTCAGACTGCGGCCCATACGCGGAGTCCGAACTGTCAGGTTTATATCCTGCAAGATACATGCATGGCCCCGCCATACAGAGGATGAAATGTAGATAGCGAGATGCATGGACGTGGCAACACAGTCAGCAGCATCCGTCCCGATCCAACCAGCACTACCGATGCTGGAAGAGAGGCATCAACACAACAGAATCAGTCCCATAACTCGAAAATTGTTCCTAGCTCTGATTACCGAGAGACTCTGTTAGAGTTCTTATTCGCGCATGGAGGATTTGATCCATGGATCGCGACGAACACATCCGAAGCAGCAGTCGACATGGCTCATGCCCTGAACCCTGAAGCTTTTACACCGCTGCCGACCCTAAATCCCTCAAACCCCAAGCCCCAAACCCTAAATCCCTAAAGCCCCAAACCCTGAACCCTAAACCCTAAATCCCTAAACCCTAAATCCCTAAAGCCCCAAACCCTAAACCTTCCACCTCTGAACCCATCATGCACCAAATCCCGTTTCGAGAAGCTCCAGGGTTCGGGATTGGGGTTTAGAGTTTAGGGTTTAGGGTTTAGGCTTGTGTTCTGCTTCAATAATTACCAAGATGTAGTTTGTAGAATTATACCCCCCCCAAACCTTATGTTTTGAATTTTTAAGGCCCCTTTATTAGGGTTTTGGACATGGAGCTTTGAGACTCTGATCCCAACCCTAACCCCAAGCCCCTAAAACCCCTACCCCGAAACCCCTAAACCCCTAGACCCTTAACCGTGACTCGGTTAATGCTGGACTACACTCTGAAGCCAAAACTTCGCTTCCCGAGGCTTTCATCATGACCTAGACGTGAAAGCCTAAACCCAAATCCTACATGCTCATAATCATATCAGACCTTCCAACTCTCTCTCTCTCTCTATATATATATACATATATGTATGTTTTTATGTATGTATAATATATATATATATATACAAATATATATTTATTTATTATTTATATTCATAGGTTCATGTATATACATATATATATATATATACACACACATGCGCACATGCATAGTTACCAGAAGCCCCTTGAGCACGGTCTGTCCAAAAGGTCGGCGAGCGAGGCCTTTCTCAGCATGCTCAAAGTCAGGGTTCAGTTTTTTAAAATTAGGATCGAGGATAGTTTATAAACCCCGAGAACTAAACCCCAAATTTAGCCCTAAACCCTAAACCCTAAACCCTAAACCCTAAACTTTAGGGCTATATGAGGGCTCAGGTTTTATGGTGTAGGGTATAGGGGGGGCCCGCACTTTTTTTTTTCTCCTAAAGTTGGCGGTCCCCGGCGGCCCTTGGT